TTCAAATACAAACCTGACCCTGGCCATATATCAATTCAAATACAAACACGATCCTGGCCATATATCAATTCAAATACAAACACGATCCTGGCCATATATCAATTCAAATACAAACACGACCCTGGCCATATATCAATTCAAATGCAAACACAACCTTCAATACAAATAGAAACTACTGGAAGTTAACTTTCATCCCAGACAGCTGAGAAGTCAAGAAACCAAGATCTGCAAAGTGCAAAGGAAGTTCCTGAGCTCTTCCATTCCCTTTCAATCAATTTGCATTTTTCTACATTTTCCTTTATCTTTGTGTTTTATCACAGTGACTATTCTGGTCATCCCTGTGCTCTGTGAGCTCCTTACCTGCAGTTTTTGAATGATTGCAGTTGCTTCATCAATGTTTTGAGGTGTATCGAAGCAGGTGGTGATTTTGGTGTTGATCATCCACTGCTGAAACTCCCTGAAGGTCATGCGGAATCGCTGCTCCAATGCCTTTTCCTTATTCTGACAATACTTTGCAGTCTGCAAACAAAGGCTGTGGTGAGCAGAAACAAGGAGACACCAAGTTATACGAAGGCTTGGGCATGAGAAACATTGTAGCCTGTCTTCTCCCTTTACAGGTGAAATCAAACATTTTTGTAAATTTTCAAAATGTTCTGCTTCTACCACCAAGTCACAACCTGGGTTTCTGATATTGCTGCTCAAGTAGCAGTTCGGACTCCCTTAGATCAACAGTGTAACTGGAAATACTGAGGTTACTCTGTCACCCAGACAATACTGGACACATAAAGAGACGGCACCATTCTTGGTTCAATGTAGGTTAGTCCACAACATGATAGCTTTAGCACTTTTCATCAAAAACAACCATTATAGTGGCTTCAGGACAGCTTCCATCAAAATCGATTGAACAGAAATCAACAGGTTCCATTACATCAAGTTACAAAGAATTTTATAGATGAGAAACAGGGCATTCAGCCTACATGAGTATTAATGCTTCCTGAATCTCCTCCTACTTACTTTATCCAGCTCAATCACTGCATCCTTCTATTTCTTTACCCCCATATAGCTTATCATAGAGTTGCAGAGATATACAGCATGGAAACAGACGCTTCAGTCCTTGCCAGATATCCTAAGTTAGTCTAGTCCCATTTGCGAGCATTCCCTTCCAATTCATATACCCATCCAGATGCCTCTTAAATGTTGTAATTGTACCAACCTCCACCACTTCCTCTGGCAGCTCATTCCATACGCACACCACCCTCTGTGTGATAAAGTTGCCCCTCAGGTCCATTTTAAATCTTTCGCCTCTCACCTTAAAACTAAGTCCTCTAGTTATGGACTCCCATACCCTGGGAAAAAAAGACCCTGGCTATTTACACTATCCATGCTCTTCATGATTTTATAAACCTCTATAAGATCACCCCTCAGCCTCCGATGCTCTAGGGATAACAGCCCCAGCCTATTCAGTCTCTCCTTATAACTCAAATCCTCCAACCCCAGCAACATCTTTGCGAATCTTTTCTGTGCCCTTTCAATTTTGACAATATCTTTCCCATAGCAGGGAGACCAGAACACAGTATTCCAAAAGGGGCCCTTAAATGTATACTGTGGTGGAAGTTATCTGATTTATACACATACGTGAGTGTTTGTATGAGATTTTAGAGTTCAGATTTCAAAATAGTGGCATATGGGCAATGATCATTTTTGTGAATGGTTTAAAAAATATCTGTCCTTTAGGAATATTGACCTAACCCAGTATGTGTCAGACAGAGATCCCAGGTGTTAATGAACAATCGTTAATATAGGAATGTAAACATTGAGGTCTATTCACTTTTATTTGGTTTAGGATAATCAGTGATTGATTTTAGCTTAGGAAACTCAAGAGACTAGAAGTTTTTGAGCAGTTTTAGAGGAAACGTGACTGGATCCAGAAGCACAATAAAGTTGCTGATTTAGAAAGGAAAATAGAACAGTTCAGGGAATATGTTACCTTAAACAAAAGCTGATGTATGAAATTTACAGAGCAGGAAGGATTGGTTAGAAAGCAGGAGGTTATTAAAAGCTGAGCAAGTCTGAGCTCTCAGTTTCTGTTCGCTTAAGACTGCACAGTTCACAGGAGTGAACTGGGAAGAATGAGCTGGGTCAAACTTAAAGATTTGAGGTAGAGAAAGTACTTTCTCTGGATGTGAAACTATAAAGTGATGGTGTTGGGGAATAGATGACTCGTTGTTTTGGTATGTATTTTGAGAGCTTTCAAACCATGTTCTATATTTAGATAGCTTGGCTTGACTTTACTTGTTTTTTCCCTTTTGCATAATAAACTTCTTTTTTATTGTTAAATAAAATCTGCTGCCTTGTGTGCTTCAGTGACCACCACATTAAAATATGAAAAAGTTAGGGTCTATCAAGCCAGGTTTCAGACTTGTCCCAGTGGTAACATCAGCTGGATTCATAAATATCCATACACTCCTTGTAGCTGTGAGTTTTGCATTCTGACTGCTCCCGGACTAAAGAAAAGCAAGCAGGCCATTCTTTCAACTAGCCACCTAAGCTGTGAGTGGCACGGTGACTCAATGGTTAGCATTGCTGCCTCAAAGTGCCAGGGACCCAGGCTCAATTCTACCCTCGAGCGCCTGTCTGTGTGGAGTTTGCACATTCTCCCTGGGTTTGTGTGGGTTTCTGCCAGGTGCTCTGGTTTCCTCCAACAGTCCAAAGATGTGCAGGTTAGGGTGGATTGGCCATGCTAAATTGCCCGCAGTGTTCAGTGTGCAGGCTAGGTGGGTTAGCCATGGGAAATGTGGGGACAGGGCAAGGTCTGGGTCTTGGTGGGATGCTCTTTGGAGAGTCGGTGCAGACTTGATGGGCTGAATGGTCTGCTTCTAAACACTGAAGGTGAAAGCTACTCCCCTTGACCTTTGTGGTGCCCTTAGCATCCAGCAACAGTGGCCTTTCATCCAAGGTCCAGTCACCAGACCCAAAACATTAACTCTGTTTTCTCCTCCACAGATGCTGCCAGACCTGCTGAGCTTTTCCAGCATCTTTGTTTTTGTTCCTGATTTACACCATCTGCAGTTCTTTTGGTTTCACCAGTGCTGGACTCCAGCTTCCATAACTCTTGTTAGGTTGAAGATTGAAGCAGACTGCCTGAACTAAAAAGCCAAGGAATCGAGTCACCAATTTAAACCAAGTCACAGTTGCCTGCCCAGTGAGGAACCAAACCTGGGCAGAAAGGTGACACCTCCATTCTATGCTTTATAATGTACTATGGTTCAGGTGGTGGAGTTTAAGGCTTCCTTCAAAAAGAATCTACAGCACTGCCTCAGTACTGTACCCGTGTCGCAGTTTGGATGGAGACCGAAATGCCTGGAGTATAATCTGAACACACCACCCATTGGCTCAGAGGTGAGGGTAATATTCAACAGGGACAGATGAAAGCAGAGTGATCCTGTTAATAGACTAGTCAGCCAAAAGGCCAGGTTTTCGCTTTAGGCACCTGGGCTCAAATCTCATGACCACAGCAACTGGGGGAATTTAAATTTAATTAATAAAGTTAAACTGTGAAACTCTTATTGCTTGTCATCTGATTCTTAACTATCCCTCATGGAAAGAAATCATAGAATCCCTGCAGTGTAGAAGCAGGCCATTCAGCCCATCGAGTCCACACGGACTCTCTGAAGAGCATCCCACCCAGACTCACCCCCCCCACCCTATCCCTGTAAGCCTGCACTTCCCATGACCAATCCACCTAACCTGCACATCTTTGGACTGTGGGAGGAAACCCACGCAGACACAGGGAGAATGTGCAAACTCCACACAGACAGTTGCCCAAGGCTGGAATTGAACCCGGGTCCCTGGTGCTCTGATGCAGCAGTGCTAACCACCCTGCAATTTTCACCTGACCAGGCCTGCATAAGACGCAAAAACAGAAGTTGCTGGAAAAGCTCAGCAGGTCTGGCAGCATCTGTGAAGAAAAAATCAGAGATAATGTTTCGGGTCCAGTGACCCTTCCTCCAAACGTAAGACCCCGACTCACAGCAATATGATTAACTGCCCTCTGAAATGGCCCAGACAGGCACCTCACTCATGGGCAATTACAGATGGGCAACAATTACTGGCTTTGTCAGTGACACCCATATTCCGCAGAAGAATACATTAAACCAGAAACTTTCATTAGGACGCAAACTGGCTTCAATATAAACAGAGACTTACCTGTTGTATTCTTTGATCAGAGAAGAAACTTTATCTGAATGTGAGCTCAAATCCTTGGAAAATCTGCAGAGGTCATTGAGCTGAGCTTTCAGTGACTCACTCATGCTTTCTGCCTCTTTCAGAGCTTCCTCTGTCTCCTGCACCAGAAATGATTTACTTAGTCACTGAGTGGACAGCATAGATTACAACAACATTCATCCTTCAGGAAACAAAACTATGGAAAATTGTACATCAGCATCTGGCCAGCAATAGTGTGAAGGAGTGACAGTGGTCGGAATTTTATTCCCATGGTTGTGACCCTGAAGATGGGCCCAAACGTTGCGAGGAGACCTCCTCTCATTGGCTGCTGGGGGTGTTGCCATCACAAGAAAATATGGCTGCTGCCTCCAGTAGCTGGGAGCCAATCAGAAGGCCAGTACCTCAGCAGCGCCACTGGGAGTGGTGGTCATGACCAGGACTGCACCATAATGAGGAGCGACCCCAACAGCTCAACCTGGCTCCCACCCCCTGCAACCCCACAACCAGGAAAATGGCGTCGGGAGATGCTGGGACCTGTCAACGGACCAAGAGGGACTGTTCTCCGGGAGAGACAATGTGCATCAGGGGACACAGCATGTGTCGGAGGGACACCGTGTGAGAGAGAGGTACAGCGTATGTGTGAGGGGGATAGCATGTGAGAGAGGAACAGTGTGTGTGAGTGGGTCAGTATTTGTGAGGGGTTCACTATAAGTACATAAGAACATAAGAAATAGCAGCAGGAGTGGGCCATCTGGCCCATCGAACCTGCTTCACTGTTCAACAAGATCATGGCTGATCCCTTTGTAGACTCAGCTCCGCTTACCCACCAGCTCACCACAACCATAAACGCCTTTACTGTTCAAAAATCTATCTGTCTTTCCCTTAAAACATTCAATGAGGAAGTCTCAACTACTTCACTGGGCAGGGAATTCCACAGATTCATAACCCTTTGAGTGAAGAAGTTCCTCCTCAGCTCAGTCTTAAATCTGCTCCTCCTTATTTTGAGGCCATGCCTCCTCAATCCTGTTCCACTCGTCAGTGGAAACAGACTCCCTGCTTCTATCTTATCTATTCCCTTCATAATTTTATATGTTTCTATAAGATCCCCCCCTCATTCTTCTCAATTCAAATGAGTACAGTCCCAGTCTACTCAATCTCTCCTCATACGCCAATCCTCTCAACTCTGGAATCAGCCCAGCGAACTTCCTCTGCACCCCCTCCAGTGCCAGTACATCCTTTCTCAAGTAAGGAGACCAAAACTGGTATTTGTGAGGACAATATGTGTGAGGGGCTCGGTGTGTGTGAGAGAGGGACAGTGTTTGTGAAAGGGTTAGAGTGCATAGCGGTGGACAGCATTTATGGCAGGAATTTCTGTGTGGCGTGGTGGATAGTGTGTCTAAGAGCAACAGTGTAATTAATAGGAATAATGTGTTTCGCAGGACATGTGCTATCTTTGAGCTGGCTGTCATTGCTAGTGTTAACACTTAAAATTGTCAAATCGTTTACACTAGAAAGTGACATATTCTGTACAAAATTAATTGCGAGATAGAGTCTGCTTGAGTCTCACAGTGTAACGGAACATTTTCCTTCAGTTGTGAGTCACTCGATTAGTCATCGATTTAATGACTCCCCAGTAATCTCTGATACCAGAAAACAGCCAAGTTTCAGCTTTCAAAGTTGGAATTTCTGTCAGTGAGTCTACACTGCTCAAGCTGTTAGGTACTGATGTGATTGGCGTACAATTACCAGTTAGGAAAGAGTTATGTTTATGCCCTGTTAACAATATTAGAGCCCGTGACAAGCTGATTTTAATTTGCTTTGCTCACAGACTCCCTGGTCCCCTATAGAGAGCCCCAGACAAACCTTTGCTTTCTGCCAGCATTCCACAACCTCTTCGTCTGTTGTTTTGTCCAGCAGCTGGGACAGGCTGTGCGAGCAGGCGGCGAGAGTGGCCTTGAACTCCTGCAGGTCCTTGTCCAGCTGTGTGACCTGTGCCTCAAACTCCTGCTCGGAGCTGGTGGTCTGACTGAGCATGGTCTCCAGGCCGCTCTGCGCTTGCAGGGTGCTCCCTTCCCACTGCTGCCAGTCCGCCCTCAGGGTATCCAACTCCCTGGCCAATGCCTCCCGTCCATTCGCTGCCATCTGCTCCCCCACTTCCGCGGCCAGAGCCTCCACTCTGTTCAGACGCTCCTTGCCATTCCGTCTGGAAACGATCAGCTCCTGAGAATGGAAGGCATTCACCGTTACCAGCCCTGTCATAACTGTTTGTGTAAGCCCTCCTGAAAGTTCATAGTTGAGCAAACACTGCGCAATATCCTGCAGAAGATATTAACCCTCACACTGCCCAGGGCAGGGGGTGGGGTGGGGGAAGGATTTTCAGACACAATCACGCTTGACACTTCTCTGCAACAACCAATTGCATTTACATAACGCCCGGAACAAAGTCAACCATCCCCAAACAGCAACAGACAGAGCTGACACAGAGGCACATGAGGGAGTCTGTTGAAAATACCTAATATATAGCCAGAGGCAAAATAAAATTTCAGATCGTAACCAGGCCAAATTGAACAGTCGACCACATTCCTCAGGAAGTTTGCTAAAAGCAGTCATACCAACCCTGCAGTGCAAGCTGTTGGGAGGTAATTTAGGACAATTTCAACCCCTCGAATGTAAGCCTTTGCAAAGTGCAGTGATATGGCATCCATCGGTAACACTCTTGCTTTGGAGTCGCGCAGTCTTAGGTCCAAGTGCCCACACTGGGGATGGTGCACAGGCATCAGGGCTGACACCCCAAAGCAGTGCTGAGGAAGTGATGCCCTGTCAGAGGTGCTGTCTCTCAATGGGAATTTGAACCAGTCTGCCAGCTTGGGTAGATATAAAGGATCCCGTGGGCCTATTTCAGAAGTCGAGCAAGGGTGTCTCTGGTGTCCTTGTCAACATTAAGCTCTCAAACAGCAAATTATCTGGTCGATTGCTATCGCATTGCTGACTCAGCGAGCTTGCTATGCACAAATTGGCTGCCTCATTTCCTACTTTACAATAGTGAACACGTGTACTCCACTGGCCGTAAAGTGGTGTGAGTTGTCCAGTGCTTAAGAAAGGTGCTATATAAATGCAAGTCTTTCTTTATACTTCACTGTCAGGACCTATACTTGGAACTGCACTTTATAAGGAATATCAGAGACTTGGAGAGGGTGTAGTGGAGGTTTATTAGGAATGAAGGATTTCAATTATATATGTGGACTAGTGGAACTGGGATTATCCTCCTCAGGGCAAAGTAAAGGGGAAGCAATGGCCTGGCGGTATTATTGCAGGAGCGTTATCCCAACGATCCAGGTAATGTTCCAGGGACTCAGGTTCGAATCCTGCTGTGGCAGATGGTGGAATTTGAATCCAATAAAATCTGGAATTAAGAGTCTAATGATGACCATGAATCCATTGCCAAGTGTTGGAGAAACCCATCTGAGAAGGGAAGGAAACTGCCATCCTTACCTGGTCTGGCCTACATGTGACTCCAGACCCACAGCAGTGTGGCTGACTCTCAACTGCTCCCTCAGCAATAAGGGATGGGCAATAAATGCTGGCCTGGCCAGCAATGCCCTCATCCCGTGAATGAATATTTTAAAAAAAGAGACTTGGTCTAAGGCATGCTGCCCTAAGGGACAATGATGATGATAAGGACACTATACTAATATTGAATCATTACATTACTCCAGTAATCAACAGAGAAATGAACAAGGTAAAGACATTAGGAAAACCAATCAAAACAGGATACAGCAGTAAGAGCCAATTAGATAAACTACAGAGAGTAAAATCCTTAGTCTGCATCAATCACATCTACACATAATAAGTCAGGGAAAAGACAGCAGAGGTGCTATTACACCCATGCAGGATGTAATTAGAAAAGGGAACCATTTCAGAAAACTGGTGGACAGAAATGTTATATCTATGTTTAAAAAGGGAACTAGAATGAGTTAAAGGAAATACAGACTGGCTTTGACACTTGTGATGAGAAAGATAATTAAATCCTTACTCAAAGTAACAATGGCCTATAATCTAGGAAACAGAAGCATAACAGAGAGTGTTCAGCGTAGATGTGAATCTTTTGAACACTTCTACAACACGAGAGAAAGCGGAGGCAAGGGTCATGTGGTAGATGTAATATAGTCAGATTTCAAACAACCTTCGATAAAGTGTCTACAGTAGACTCATGACTAAGATCAGAGCATGTGGGGTTATAGGACAAGGAGCAGAATGGATAGAAGTTTGACAAAAAAGTAACAGAACAGAAAGTAATGGGAAAGCGTAGTGGGTCAAATGAGTAAATGGAGTGGCAAAGTGTTCCACAGGGACTGGTGCTGGAACCACTGCTCCTCATAATTTGCACAAGACTCAGGGATGGGAAAGTGCAAAAGGCAAGTCCCACCTGCTTCAGAGATGTTATAACACACCTCTGGAGAGGTTATGGAGTCACAGAGTCACACAGCATGTAAACAGATCCCTCGGCCCAGAGATAACAAGGTGTAGAGCTGGAACGCTTTGCGGAACACCTACGCTCGGTTCGCACTAAACAACTGCACCTCCCAGTCGTGAACCATTTCAACTCCCCCTCCCATTCCTCAGACGACATGTCCATCTGGGCCTCCTGCAGTGCCACAACGATGCCACCTGAAGGTTGCAGGAACAGCAATTCATATTCTGCTTGGGAAACCTGCAGCCCAATGGTATCAATGTGGACTTCACAAACCTCAAAATCTCCCCTCCCCCTACCGCATCCCAAAACCAGCCCAGCTCGTCCCTGCCTCCCTAACCTGTCCTTCCTCCCACCTATCCCCTCTTCCCACCTCAAGCCCCACCCCCATCTCCTACCTACTAACCTCATCCTGCCCCCTTGACCTGTCCGTCCTCCCTGGACTAACCTATCCCCTCCCTACCTCCCCACTTACACTCACCTTTACTGGCTCCATCCCCGCCTCTTTGACCTGTCTGTCTCCTCTCCACCTATCTTCTCCTCTATCCATCTTCTATCCGCCTCCCCCTCTCTCCCTATTTATTTCAGAACCCCCTTCCCCTCCCCCATTTCTGAAGAAGGGTCTAGGCCCGAAACGTCAGCCTTCCTGCTCCTCTGATGCTGCTTGGCCTGATGTGTTCACCCACTCGTCCTCGGCCCACCCAGTCCATGCCGGCCATAATCTCAAACTACACTGGTCCCACCTGCCTGCACTCAGCTCACATCCCTCCAAATCTTTCCTATTCATGTACTTATCTAAATGTCTTTTAAACATTGTAACTGTACCCGCATTCACCACTTCATCTGGAAGTTCATTCCACACACGAATCACTCTCTGTAAAAACATTGCCCCTCATGTCTTTTTTTAAATCTTTCTCCTCTCACCTTAAAAATGCCTCCTGTGTCTTGAAACGCTCTACCCTAGGGAAAGGACACCTGCCATTCACCCTATCTATACCCCTCATGATTTTATAAACCTCTATAAGGTCACCCCTCAGCCTCTGTCACTCCAAGGAAAATAGCCCCAGCCTATTCAGCCTATCCCTATTGCTCAAACCCTCCAGCCCCAGCAACATCCTTGTAAATATTTTCTGAACCCTTCCAAGTTTTACAACATCTTTTCTATAGCAGGGAGACCAGAACTGAACGCAATACTCCAAAAGTGGCCAAACCAATGTCCTGTACAGCCACAAGGCAAGTGTATCAAATGCCTTCTTCACTACCCTTTCTGACTAGGGGTTAAACATTTCAGTAAAGAGGCAGGTTTTAAGAAGCATCTTTCAGGATGGGAGAGTATAGAGGCAGAGAGATTTAGGGAGGGGATTTTAGACCTTTAGGGATCCAGACAGCTGAACGCATAGCTCCCTATACTCAAAGGAAATTGGGATTTACAAGAAGCCAGAACTGAAGCACTGAAAAGCAGGAGGAATTACTTAGGGAGTATTTCCCATCAAAATCTAGAATGGTACCGCTATTTTTGATTACAAACAAAACTACAGGCCCAAGATAAACAGGGAGATGGTGAGAGGACAGAAGTGTGTGTAGGGCGAGCCTTGGGATCTGTCTTCAGCAATCAAAAGATAGAGGTCAGGATGAGGTGTGGGCAGAGGTCAACATAGTTGCATTGTGGAGAGAGGGGACAAAGTTTATGGGAGACGTGGGGGAGACCTGGTGGTAAAGTCTTCCTCCAGGGGGCCACAGTACACTTAAGGCCCATGACACACGCTGTAAAGAGACAGTCACCTCCTGGATCGAGAAACTCTCCTGTCCGCTACACTGCCATGTTTCCCGAGATTGGGAATCCCATGCAGCAAGTGTTACACTAACTGCACTGCAGGGACCTGTTTGTAATACCTTACCGAGGCTCAGTGGCTCAGTGGTTAGCACTGCTGCCTCACAGCGCCAGGGACCCGGATTCGATTCCAGCCTCACGCGACTGTCTGTGTGGAGTTTGCATATTCTCCCCGTGTCTGCATGAGTTTCCTCCAGGTACTCCGGTTTCTTCGCACAGTTCAAAGACATGCAGGGTAGGTGGATTGGGCCATGCTAAATTGTCTAGGAACGTGCAGGCTGGGTGGATTAGACAATGTAAAAATGGAGGATTACAGGAATAGGGTGGGTCTGAGTGAGATGATCTTCGGAGGGGCAATGTAGACCTTATGGGCCGAATGACCTGCTCCCACACTGCAGCAATTCCATGATTCTAAGTGCAGGGACACAGCAAATGCAGTAGTTTTTGAAGCGTAGTTACTGTTGTAACATTGGTAAAGTGGCGGGCAATATATGCACAGCAAGATTCCATGCAATAACGACCAGATCATCTGTTTCAGGATTGGAGAGATAAATAGCGTCAGGAAATTGGGGAGAGCTGTCCTGCTTCTCTCTGAAATACTATCAGGGGATGTTCTATGTCCAGTAAGAGGGCACGAGGGTCTTTGGTATAATGTCTCATCCAAAAGATGGCACCACTGCACCATTTTTTCAGTACTGCACTGTACAGCCAAGGTGACCTGGTTTCTGGAGTGGAGCTTGAACCCAGGATCTACTGGCTCAGAAGGAAGAGGAAACCTCAGAAGACACTGTACTCATGGATCTATCCTGCAGTTACAGTCAAGAGTTTTACAGCACAGAAACAAACTCGTCCATGCCAACCAGATATCCTAAATAAATCTAGTCCCATTTGTCAGCATTTGGCCCATATCCCTCTAAACCCTTCCTATTCATGTATCCATCCAGATAACTTTTTCATGTTGTAACTGTACCAGCCTCCACCGGTTCCTCTGGCAGTTCATTCCATACTCGCACCACCCTCTGTGTGAAAAAGCTACCCCTTAGGTCCCTTTTAAATATTTCCCCTCTCACCTTAAACCTATGCCCTCTCGTTTTGGAGTCCCCTACCCTGGGGAAAAGACGTTGACTATTCACCCTATCCATGCCCCTCATGATTTTAGAAACCTCTATATGGTCACCCCTCAGCCTCCGATGCTCCAGGGAAAATAGCTCCAGCCTATTCAGCCTCTCCCTGTAGCTCAAACCCTCCAACCCTGGCAACATCCTTGTCAATCTTTGCTGAACCCTTTCGAGTTTCAAAACATCTTTCCTGTAGCAGGCAGACCAGAATTGAATGCAGTATTTCAAAAGTGGCTGAAACAATGTCCTGTACAGCTGCAACATGACCCTCCCAACTCCACTACGCAATGCACTGACCACTAAACGCAAGCGTGCCAAACATCTTCTTAACCACCCCGTCTACCTGGGACTCTACTTTCAAGGAACTATGAACCTGCACCCCAAGGTCTCTTTGTTCAGCAACACTCCCCTGGACCTTACCATTAAGTGTATAAGTCCTGCCCTGATTTGCCTTTCCCAAAATGCAGCACCGCACATTTATCTACTTGTCAGATTCCTGCTGTCTAATTTCTGTAAATCAGAGGCCAGGTAATTATTCCCACCGTGACTTTCTTCAGTTTTCTCTGCAGAGCTGTCGAGTCTCCTGATAAATCTGACCATCGGTGAAGTTCCTCCTTTGCTGAGGTCAGCCAGTTAGTTAGTTCTTGCACAGCGACGTTATACTGCTGATGGTCCTGCACCTGATCCTCCAGCTTCTTCACCTTTCCCTGCAATCAAAAGCAAATTCAGCTATACATGCTACCACATCGAACACAGAAATTACTGTGACTGCAACATGTGTTTTATGCTCTGTTTGACATCCCCTAACAACTCGCTCCACCACCTCCAGACCTGCTGACCTGCCCTAGCGATTTGTGCATTTATTTGATTCAGGTAAGTCGCTTGGTTTCAGGAAATTCACTTTGGAGACTGAAATATTATCTGCAGATAAATTCAATTGTTATTGAGTAGTTACATATTTTAAGAGTAACTAGGACAGTTTCTACATTCTCTGATTTACTGATGAGAGGTGCAATAGTAAATTGAATTTTGTTGTATACTTAATGTTCATCTAAGCTGCAGACGATGTTCTTTTCTCTGCAAAGATCTGTATCAAGTAGTCAAGTATGTCATTGTTTGAAATTGGGTAAACCAAGCACATTGAACAGATGTGTCCTTAAACAAATGCCAATTTTAAGTTGTGTAATGATTCATTAGGTTTATTTAAAGTTCCTACTGCTCTCTGCCCACATTTCCTCTTTGTACAGAGATTATCGAGATGTGAAGTGACCTTACTCACAAAATGCCTGCAGCATGCTAAGTAGCAGAAAAATGTGTATGTGTAAATAGAGGAGATATTAGATGGCGAGGAAAGGTTTAGAGGGATATCACAAACACAGGAAAATGGGACTAGTTCAGTTTAGGAATGGACAGGTTGAGCCGAAGGACCTGCTTCCGTGCTGCATGACTCTACGACTATGACTGTGCTGGAACTCATGACCTCTATTGAGCTGTGATTCTAAGGTCCGATTTCACGTGTCACCCCCTTCCCTCTGCAAAAGCCCAGAGTCAGCACCACTTCTGTGCCTCGAAACTCACCAGAGACAGACCACACACCCCTACAGCAGTGACAGGGATGGCTAGTGCCTCATACTCCCCCTCATTGGGTCAAATGTATCAGTATAACTACATCGCCATAACTGTGACCTAGATATTAAAAGGGGGAATAACTCCACAGAGGCCAGTATCCTGTCACCAAGTGACCCAATATGAAGAGCCCTTGACACTGATCCGGCTCCCTCAGAGCCAGCTCTTAGAGTGAACAGAACCTCTGACACTCCTGTTCTTATCTGTCAGCCAGGGCGCCCTGATTGGCCCAGATTAACAGCCCCAATCAGGGAACTCATACAATCACTACAGGAAGGACTTCTCTTTTATTCATTCATTTTTATTTATTTATTGCCCCATCACTAATTACCCAGAGGGCAGTTAAGAGTCTACGACATTGCTGTGGGTGTGGAGTCACATGTAGCCCAAACCAGGTAAGGATGGTAGATTCCTTTCCTAACGGACATTAGTGAACCAGATGGATTCACAGTCATCATTAGACTCTTAATTCCAGGTATTTGTTGAATTCAAATTCCACCATCTGCCGTGGCGGGATTCAAACCTGGGTGCCCAGAACATTACCTGGGTGTCTGGATTAACAGCGCAGTGATAATACCACTAGGCCATCACCTCCTCCATTAGTTGTGAGTAACGATGGTGGTAGTGGGTTGGGGGGAGGAAAGTGGAACGTGGAGCTTTGTGTGTGAACCCTGAAAGTATGTATTCCCCACTCACATTGTTTCACCTCAGCAGCTTCCCCCACCTGATGGACCAGGCCTCCCAGTGAGGACTCCACCACAGCCAGAATGAATCCCCGACCTCACAGTGTTCAGTCTCTGACTACTGGGGGTCTTTCTCTGGGCTTTGGGGAATAGATGGGGCAGGGGAGGTGGGTTTTTTTTTATTGGGTTGAAGTAAAACGCTCCAGCTTCTCCCGGCCTTGCAGGTGCTGTGCTGAATCAAGCACGGTATTGATGCAATAATTAGAGATGATCGTGGTTCAGGAGATCAGGGTGTAGATTCAGTTTGGGTAGAGTTGAAGAACAGTAAAAGGAAAGAAGTCACAAGCAGGAGTGGTCTCCAGGCCCCGAACAGTGACCGCAACGTGGGCCATGACGGACAAGAGGAAACGTTGGATGCTCTAGATAAAATGGTTGGCAGTAATCATGGATGACTTTAATCTACATCGTAACTCGAAAAATCAGATCAGTTCATAGAATATTTAATAGAATGATTTCAAAATAGTATCTGGGAACAGCACATTTTGGAACTGACAAGGGAGCAGACAATAACAGGCTTGGAATTATGTCATGTGACAGGATGACTACTGACCTCAGAGTAAAAGCATTGCTAGGTAGCAGCGATTACAACCTGATTGAATTTTACATCCCGTGTGAAAAGGAGAAGAGTGAGTCAAAGACTAGTACCTTAAACATGAAAACAGGCAACTGTGCGGGCATTAAAGCTGAGCCAGTGAACTGGAATACTAAGCCAGGGAATAATCAATAGAGACACAGCAACTGGACGTTGAGTCATTGAGATATACGGCATGGAAACAGACCCTTTGATCCAACTCGTCCATGCCGATATCCTAAATTAATCTCGTCCCATATGCCACCATAAAGCCCATATCCCTCTAAACCCTTCCTATTCATGTATCCATCCAGATGCCTTTTAAATATTGTAATTATACTAGCCTCTACGACTTCCTTGGGCAGCTCCTTCCACACACGCACCACCCTCTGTGTGAAAAGTTGCCCCTTAGGTCCCTTTTAAATCTTTCCCCTCTCACCTTAAACCTATGCCCTCTAGTTTTGGACTCCCATACCCTGGGGAAAAGACCTTGACTATTCACCCTATCCATGCCCCTCATGATTTTATAAACCTCTATAATGTCACCCCCTCAGCCTCCGATGCTCCAAGGAAAATAGCCCCAGCCTATTCAGCCTCTGCCTAGAGCTCAAACCCTCCAACCCTGGCAACATCCTTGTAAATCTTTTCTACACCCTCTCAAGTTTCACAATATCCTTCCTACAGCAGGGAGGTCAGAACTGAATGCAGTATTCCAAAAATGGCCTAACCAACGTCCATTTAAGGGGATATTTCAGAATGCCCAAAATAAGTAGATTCCTATATAAAGCAAAATTCCAAAGGGAGGACCCACCATCTAGGGTTAACTAGAGAAGGTAAAGAGAGCATCAAAGGTAAGGATTAAGCTTATAATTGCACAAAGAGGAGTGGCATGTCAGATGATTGGTCAGAATATAAAGAACGGCAGAGGATGCCTAAGAGTTTAATCAGGAGGAAGAAATTAGAGCATTAGATGAAGTCAGCTCGGAATATCAAAATGGAGAACAAGAACTTCTGCAGGTATTTAATAAGGAAAGCAGTAAGTAAAGGGGGGGCTGGGTCCGTGGGGGGGGGGGGGGTGAGGATTAACAGTAGATAATAAGGATCCAGTAGATGGGGTACAACGTTGGAAAATGGGAAGATATTCACTTTGGCAGGAAAATTAAAAAGAGCAGAGCGTTACTAAAATGGAAAACAACTGCAGAATCTCGAGGTGCAGAGGGATTTAAATGTTCTGGCGTGCAAGTTCCAAGCAGTTAGTATGCAAGCAGAGCATGTAATCAAGAAAGCTAATAGTTTATTATTGTTTATTTGTTGTCCTATTTGTTGAATTCAAATTCCACCATCTGCCGTGGCGGGATTCAAACCTGGGTGCCCAGAACATTACCTGGGTGTCTGGATTAACATTGTTTATTTCGAGAGGAAATTAATAAAAATGATAATGTTATGCTTCACTTCACGACATTGGTGAGACCACCTCTTGAATATTAGGGACAGATTTGGTCTCCTTATTTAAGGATGGATATAAATTGGAGTTGGCTCAGAAGGTTTTAGGACGGAAAGAAGAGAATTTTCTTCCCTCAGAGGGTTTTGGAATTCCCGACCTCAGGAAGTGAGGTGACTAAATATTTCTAAAGCAAAGGTACGTAGATTGCTGATGAGCAGGGGGATCGAAGGTTACCGGGGCTCGATGAGAATGTGGGAATCGTAACAGGGAGTCAACCATGATCGTATTGAGTGGGTAGGAGACCCAAGGGGGCTGAATGGCCTACTTCTGCGCCTAGTTCATATAATCATAAACAGAACTCCATAAAGCCCATTTCTGAAGAAGGATCCCAACCCGAAATGTCAACTTTCCTGCCGCTACTGATTCTGCCTGGCCTGCTGTGTTTCTCCAGCTCCACACTGTGTTAACCATAAAGCTGTCTTTGCCTCTCTGTAGCTGCTGATTTTCCTGAGACATGTGAAACCTGACCAACTACTGAGTGACCTGGAAAACCGAGGCTTCCAGATTCATTAATATATTTAAACTGTCAACTTTCCTCTGGGGGAGACGACCCATCCGCACCATCCCCCTGCCCCCAACCCCACTCTGCCCCACCAACGTCGCGCCTCCCTAAAACCCAAAAGGGGGCAGATTGTTGGGGAGGAGGGGGTTTGTTTCGGGGTTTGGGATTTGTAACATTTTAACATCTGACCTGACACACCCATTTTGGGAATCAAAGTTCACCATAACCTGCTCACTGTAAGCGCTTGGACATCAGCTGCAGCACAGGGTACAGCTGTGGGCACCACATTATAGGTAAGATGTGAATGCGTTGGAGAGAAAGCAGAAAGCGATTTACAAGCATGGATCCTGGCATGAGTTATGAAGACAGATTAAAGAAGTTGAGACTGTTCTCCTTGGAGAGAAGAAGGCTGACAGGAGACTTAGCTTCAAAACCGTGAGTGGGTTCGAGAGAGTAGATAGGGAGAATCTGTTCCCACTCACAAAAGAAAGGAGAACAAGAAGATGTAGATTTAAAGTGATCTGCAAACCAGCATGGGTGAAGTGAGAAAAACCTTCTACACTCAGTGAATAGTTGGTATATGGAATGAATTGCCTGGACATGTGGTGGAGGCTGGTTCAATTGAGGCAATCAAGAGGTTAATTGGATAATAAAGGGCTGCTGCAAGCACGATGGGCCAAATAGCCTCTTTATGACCCATTTCATTTCAGTGAACTGGGCCACCTCAGTGTAGACTTGTGGTAAGAGTGTGAAGACGGAATCTGGATGGCTCACGGGGCCAGAGAATTCCCCCAATTGGTTGTTAAGAAGCTGGGGATGTTTTCCCTACATAATGTTTGACAGGCACAAAGTGAACACGTCACTCAACATTATCTTCCCATGGAGCGGGTTTGCAGACTACATTTTGCAAAGAAAGGATCTTGAATGAGAGGCCAGTTAACTCTGCAATCCCCACTTTCATTCCAGCGGTGGCGATGTGGTGAAGGGGACTTGTCCCATGGCCCATTTATTTCAATTCATTATGGGATGAGGGTGTCGCTGACCAGGCAGCATTTACTGCCCATCCCTAATTGCCCAGAGGCAACTCAGAGTCAACCACATTGCTGGGGGTCTGGAGTCACATGTAGGCCAGACCAGGTAAGGATGGCAGTTTCCTTCCCTAAAGGACATTAGTGAGCCAGATGGGTTTTCCGACAATCGATAATGGATTCGTGGTCATCATTAGATTCTTAATTCCAGATATTTTATTGAAGAAAGAATTCCACTTAACAAGAAGGACTGTAAAGTTGGACGTTTGCTTTATTTCTTCATTTTTCTGCCTTTATATTCTATGTTTTGGTTTATTTTTCTGTGTTTTAAGATGGCGCCAGAGAGTAGTGACACTATACAACACCTTTCCCATATTTAGAAACAAGATATATGTGACAACACATAAATCAAATAAAAACACAGTCACAGTCGATGTTACTTCCTTTACAATGCTGCAGAATCAAACAGGAAGGGGTCGTTACCTTGGCAACTACAACAATATCAGCAAACTGGGTCCTCATCTCTAGCTGTGCATCCTCCGTGAAAGACAGGTCACCAGTTCTCTCCAGCAGCTCCTGGGCTTTCTCAACCAGCCGGGCAAGTATGGCTGAGTGCTTTTCAATGTCAACCAGCAGACTCTGGTATCTCTCCAGCTGCAAGAGCTTGTCCTTCAGGTCGTTCTGCAGCTCCAGGTCCTGGCTCACTCCCTGCTCCGTTCTCTCCATCCACTGCTGCAGCTGCTTCTTACTTTCCAGGAACCCATTCCACTGCGCCACCACCCACTCCAGCTGGCTGGAAGGCAAAGGAGCAACAGAAGGCACGGTTACGAGAGAGGCGCTACTGATGGGGGCAAGGTAATAATGACCAGGCACCTTTTTAAATGGGTGGATTTTGAATGAACTAAATCCCGCTCACCATCTGTGAGAAACTAAGGACCCCCATCAGTGATGGGGGATGGAGGTACTGAAAAGTGAGATTATATTCACTACGCAAGGACAGAAGTGTAGGTCACCATTGTCCCAGAGAACTGTAGTGGCACACCGTCCATCCAGCATGCGCTGACCAATACGCAGTTACACATTGAGCTCTTTAACTCGGCCTTATCGTCCTCCCCTCATATTACCTCACAACGTTAAACGTTGGCAATCATAAGATACGGAGGGCGGTTAGAGATTCCGAAAAGCAGAAATCATGAGTTCAAATCTCACCGAGGTCAGCTGTGACCAATCTCGTCATTCGAAGGGGCGCTGACTGAAAGTTGTGCTGGCGATGGGTTTGGGTCGAGAAACAGGTTTTCCTTGTTTGGTCTCTACACCTATCTCTGACCAAAACCCACCCCCTTTTAAATGTTTTACAGAAAATAGATAACAGATTACAAACTGTGCCAGCAAATTTGGTGGATAATCGATGGAATTAACTGTTACTTTTGTGGCGTAAAGCTGGTTTAGGACGTCAATGATGATGCCCACAGTTAATTCAGAGTCAGGTTATACCTGTGACAGTTCACTGAGCTACTGACAACTTTGGCCCAGGCTTCCTTGAGTGCCTGGAGCTGGCTCTGAATAGCATCCCTTGCTTCCTGTTTACTGCTCTTCAGGGACTGTTCTCCTTTACCGATCGTCATATTCAGCTTCACCTCGCCTTCGCCCTTCATCAGCAGGATCTCCTAGATAGGACAAACAAGACAAGCATTTCAAGAATAGCGTCTTTATTTTTAACAACGTCTGCAGCAGGACAGCTCCTGTAATTGTTAAATTTCCCCATTGGGTAGGAAGGGGAAGGATCGCACCATTCTATTCTACAATAAAGTCAAAAACACACACAGCATGTTCTGGCAGTGTCTCTGGAGAGAGAAGCAGAGTTGACATTTTGAGTCCAGTATGAGTCCTCTTTAGAATGCTGAGTTCAAAAGAAGGATCATAGAGTCACACAGAAACAGACCCTTTGGTCCAACTCATCCATGTCGACCAGGTATCCCAACTAAACTAGTCCCATTCGCCTGCATTTGGCCCATATGCCTCTAAACCCTTTCCTACCCATGTACCTGTCTAAACATCTTTTAAATGTTGTAATTGTACCAGCCTCCACCACTGCCTCTGGCAGCTCATTCTCTACACGCATCACCCTCTGTGTGAAAAAATTGCCCCTCAGGTTCCTTTTAAATCTTTCCCCTCTCACCTTAAACCAATGCCCTCTAGTTTTGGACTCCCCTACCCTGGGGAAAAGACCTTGGTTATTCATCTTATCTGTGCTCCTCATAACTGTATAAACTTCTATGTGATCACTCCTTAGCCTCCTACACTCCAGGGAAAAAGTCCCAGCCTGTTCATCCTCTCCTTATAACTCAAAACTTCCAGTCTTGGTAACATCCTTGCAATTTTTTTTTAACACTCTTTCCAGTTTAATAACATCTTCCTGATGGATCTGACATGTTGACTCTGTTTCTCTCTCCACAGATGCTGCCAGACCTGCTGAGTTTCTCCAACACTCACTGTGTCTGCTACCCATTGACAATAATGTACATTCTGAACTCAACCTTACCCTTCCAGCAAGATTTGATTTTCTGCTTCTCACATCCTAACAATTCCTCTGCGAGAAGAGATTTCTTTTGGGTAATGGTCTGAATTTATGCATTCAGTTACTAACTTGCTGACCAGTGAGTTAATAAAATCCCTCAAAATTTCAAATCCTTCTATCAAATCTCCTTTTCGCCTCAATCTTTATACTGCTGAAAATAGCCCCATTTTCTTTCTTCATAACTAAAGTCTCTCATCTCAGGCGTCACTCTAATAAATATCTTCTTTACCTTTTCCATGACATTGACATCCCTCCTGACCTGAGGTATCCTGAAACTGGACCTAATATTCTAACTAACCAACGATTGGATATGGCATCCTGAACAGTATAACTCCTTTCAACATCAAACATCTATTTACAAATTGGCTCGCTCGCTGACCAGATTGTACATCACAGGAAAGGCATAGCTTCCACACCATGTAGTCAAGGAGAGATGCTATTCATAATGCACTCCCAGCATGCATTGGGAGTGTACAACAGGGATTGGTTACACAGGTGAGCAGGCCTGATTTTCCACACTTGGCACTCAATATCAGTGGATCCCCCTTCACATTGGAAAGGTGTCTGTGTCAGGCAGTTAAAACCTTTGAGTGTTATTGGTGTTTCTCAGACCTAAGCCAGGGCAATTTGTCTTTTTGGAGAAAGAAACCTGATGTCTGGGGATGGTCTAGTATTGTTTACTCATTCCTTCATGGGATGTGCATGTTACTGGCTAGGCCACACATACCTGATTGACATTGAGGATCATGGAATCCCTACATAGAATCCCATTCGGCCCATTGAGTCCACGCCAGCCTGCTGAAGAGCTATCTCTCCTCTCAGACACATTCCCCTACCCTACCCCAGTAACTCTGCACTTTACCCTGGCTAACCCAGATAGCCTACACATCCCTGCACACTATGGGACAATTTAGCGTGGCCAAACCACCTAACCTTTGCACATCTTTGGACTGTGGGAGGAAACCGGAGCACTCAGAGGAATACCACACAGACACAGGGGTTGTTTTCCTCCTGGATGGTACAAGTCGTGGGTTTGGTGGGTAGTGTAAATGGTGTGTGTGACTCCAGTTGGACACCAGTGTGTTTGATTCTTAACTACCCTGCGCAGTGAGCTAGTAAATCATTAATTTCAATGTTGGCTTCTTAAGAGAAACTCAGAATGTACTGCAAATGAAAAGCTCGCCAGCAATGCCCTTCTTTTGAGAATTAATCAAGAGAAGCGGGTTAACCCACATCCTCACAGATTGGGCAGCACATGGCACAGGAACAATCTGAAATGGACAGACTGGGGCAATGTCAGCATTTTCAGTTCCTTGAGCAGCTCTACACACAAGAGCTCCGATTATGATCAAGGGCATCAGAAAATCTGGATCTGGGAGGTCATATCTCCACCGCACCAGGACCTGGTTACCCATAACCATACCACATCTGGACCTGGTTACCCATATCCATACCACACCAGGACCTGGTTGCCCATATCCATACCACAGCTGGACCTGGTTACCTATATCCACACTATACGAGGACATGGTTACCCATATCCATACCACACCAGGGCCTGGTTACCCATATCTCTACCACACTAGGACCTGGTTACCCATATCCATACCACACCAGGACCTGGTTATCCATATCCATACCACACCAGGATCTGCTTACCCATATCCATACCACACCAGGACCTGGTTATCCATATCCATACCACACCAGGACCTGGTTACCCATATCCAAACCACACCTGGAACTGGTTGCCCATAACCGTACCACACCAGGACCTGATTACCCATATCCAAACCACACCTGGAACTGGTTACCCATATTCATACCACACCTGAATCTGGTTACCCATATCCATACCACGCCTGGATCTGGTTACTCATATCCATATCACACCTGGACCTGGTTACCCATATTTATACTATACCTGGTTCTGGTTACCCATATCCATACCACACCAGGGCCTGGTTACCCATATCCAATCCACACCTGGATCTGGTTACCCATACCCAAAGCACACCTGGATCTGGTTATCCATATCCATACCACACTGGTTACCCATATCCACACCACACCAGGATCTGGTTACCCATATCCACACCACACCAGGACCTGGTTACCCATATCTCTACCACACCAGGACCTGATTGCCCATATCCATACCACACCTGGATCTGGCCATTCCTATCTAAACCACACATGTATGGTGATGCTGTCACTTTAAGAGGTGATTTTGTCCTTGTTTTGTTTTGAAGAGAGGGTGTGAGGCAGAGATACCAATCAGTCTGGGATAATGTAAACAGCTTCGGAGGCCTTGGGCGTTTTTTTTAAAAAGATAGCCTGAATGGGTGTGGCCAGCTCTGACTGATCTAGATTTCTGGGTTTTGTTTTCCATTAGCAGCAGAAGCTATTGGGGTCTGAACAGAGTTAGGAGCTTCAATGAATGTCTCCTGGCTGCTAATCTCTCTGACTTTTCTCTTGATTTTTTTTTGCCTCCTGGATTGGAGAACTGCATTTGAGAATCTGAGTCTGAAATTTCTTTCTTTGCCACAGGATCTGTTTATGGGATATTACTTTATTGGAACAGTTAATTCATAACAGTTTCTGTGTCTATGATTCTGTTCAGTTTCTAATTGAGTTATTTTAAATTCCTGTTTCTTTGGTGGTATTTTTAACTACAGTACTTAAATACATTCTGTTTTACGTAGAGTGGTTTGACCATTCGCATTGCATCTGGAACAGAGCACTTCATATTTGCCTTAAAAATAAGAAAAGTTAGAGTCTAGGCTACCTCCTTAAAATATTTTGACAGGGGTCTGGTCTGGTCCATAACACCTGGATCTGTCTGTTCCTATCTATCCCACACCTGGATCTGTCTGTTCCTATCTGTCCCACACCTGGATCTGTCTGTTCCTACCTGTCCCACACCTGGATCTGTCCGTTCCTACCTGTCCCA